AAACCATTTCAGGTGACTACCTCTTGAAGCTCATGGAGAGAATGCCAAGAGTGTGCAAAGCAGTAATCAGAGCAAAGGGTGGCTATTTTGAAGAAACTAGAATATAAAACATGTTTTCAGTTATTTCACCTTTTTTTGTTAAGTACATAACTCCACATGTGTTCATTCATAGTTTTGATGCCTTCAGTGAGAATCTACAATGTAAATAGTCATGAAAATAAAGAAAACGCATTGAATGAGAAGGTGTGTCCAAACTTTTGGCCTGTACTGTATATATATATATATATAAATAAAATTTTTCCCCCCTCAAGTTAGTAGGCTACATTGATAAGGTTCCCAGGCTTCTCTCTACCTTGTGAGCTGACAGTGACCAATCAAATGTGAGCTTGACCTTTAATGCTGATTTTAGATTGGTTATTAGTCTCAAATCACTCTGTGACCATGGAACTTCTGTCACTCAGAGCTAACTAGAAGCCAAAGCGACTTTTTTTTTTTTTTTTTGAAAAAAACACCACTGAACACCACTGAACTAGCCTGGTGAAACCATCCTAATCTCGCGAGCTCATATTCTATTTCGCTCTGCAACTCAGTCTGGCCATGCAATCATAAACGCGCTTCTTTAAAATCAGAACAAACGGCTGCACTGAAAGCCTTTATTGAAAAAAAGGATGTGTTTGTCGTCCTTCCTACAGGGTTTGGTAAAAGTTTAATTTACCAGCTGGCTCCATTGATCGGGAAAAAGATGGGACTCAGTGAAAACCCAGTGGCTATTGTTGTTTCTCCGCTAGTTGCTCTCATGGAGGAGCAGGTCAGGGAAGCGACCAAGCTGGGAATTACAGCCATGCAACTCGGAGTCGACAGTGAGGAGGAAATCCGCAAAGACGGAAACACTCGCTCCCAGACATCATCACAGCTCATCTCCACTGCACACTGCACTTGCTTGCTGGTCTGTTTACAGTGGTGTTGTGCTAGCCTACGTCACATGTGTCGTTTACTCTGATTGGTTTTCCGTCTTTCCAATTGCGTGAAGGGGCACTATGAGTGACAGCTGTTGATACAGCCCCTCGGGAATAGAGGAAATGTACAGTCCATGTCCAGACCCATTCGCGTTTTGCGAATTAGGTGTGGCAACACCAGGCTACTCCAGGCTATGATGATGACAGTCATCATCATCATCATCAGTATTATCATCATCTAAGGATTCTCTTTCATTCACAGTGGTGTTCAGTGGTGTTCTTTTCTAAAAATGTCTTCAACTGAAAAAGTTGTTAATGATAAGTGTACTATAAACGTACAGTGTAATGTATACATTATAATGACTTTTTGTTGTAATAAAAAAATCCATTACACTATTGGTGCTTCTTACATTAAAGCTCCAGTAGGCAACATTGTTTTGGTATAATTGAGTAAAGTTTTATAATATCCTCTAAGCATATTGTAAATCAAGTGGTCTGAGACAAACTATAGGTTTCTGCACCTCACCATGGCTCTGTGTTCAGCCTCTAAAGAATCAGTATTGTGCCGATGTGCATCAACCAATCAAAGGTCAGCTCAGACCACTGCGTTCCTATTGGCTTTCTACTGCATATGCGTGTTCCCGTGCCGCTGGCAGAAGGGGAGAGCAAGCGGCAATGGCGAACAGTGCACCAGGTAAAATAGGTATTCCAGCGCGAGGGCGCGAGGTTTGGCCATGGGAGTGGAGCCGAGGGCTCTCCGCCGAGAGGGAGAGCCGAGCCTCTGGGGTATGCGCGGTGAGGGAGAGCCGAGGCTCCCAGAGAGGGAGAAATAGAACCAAGTAGGATAAAATACTCGCGTGCTCGTCTGGTAGGAGGGGCTCAGGGCGGAGACGAACGAAACCTAACTCAGATGAGACTCAAAAATCAACCATTTTCAGGCTTTCTACCTACTGCAGCTTTAAGGTGGGTGCTCCCAAAATGTTGCTGGTGCTCCTACCTTTATGAATTAGGAGCACCAGTGCTACCATGTAAAAAAGTTCATTTCAAGCCCTGACTTTCCTTCAGTGACACAGAGAAGGTCACTAATAAGCTCAACCTCACCCAAAAAGTCAACATGGATGAACTTTATGATGAATGCACCACTGCAAATACCACTCTGAAGGGGCTCTGAGAAGGTGCAGAAGACGAATGGTCCAAAGATGTGGCTGCCAGGTGGGTGGCTCTCTTTCAAGTAGCTGACCTACCTAACATGCTGTCCGTCATCAGCCACATCCTGAGCATCCCAGCATCCACTGGATATGTGGAAAGGATCTTTTCCAGAATGGCCAACAAATGGAGTGAGAAGAGGAAGTGAGAAGAGGTGTTCCGTGGAGCTTATGAGGAGTGAGCTCTTGATCACACTCAACTTTGAGCAGTCCTGTTCAGAGTTTTACTGCAGTGTTTTGAAAGACAAACGTCTACTCAGTGCTGCAAGGAGTGAGAAGAAATACACCTGGAAAAGGAAATAACACAGTGAACAAAGAGAGCTGTTTAACCTAGGTCTACTGCTCCACACAGAAAAGAAAGAAAACTGTTGAACTGTTCATGGAAGAGAGATGTTCATGGGAGATAGATGTGGCAATGAGAAGGAGGAATGTTTTACAGTTTAATTTAAATTGTTTGCACACCCAGAATTTCAGGGTTTTTCTTTTGTAAAGAAACAGGACACATAAAAGGACTTTAAGAAATTGGCATGAAGTAATGTGTGGTGGCACAAGGAGCATCACTATCCTGAGATGTAATTATTTTTATTTTTATGTTATTTATCTATTCCTTTGTAAAAGCCATCCATCCTCCTGCAATTTTTTATGGATTTTTTTGTAAACATTTGTTTAATTTATAGTTACTAAGTTAAGTTAATTTGTTGAAGTGTGAGAGTGTAATTGACAGAGATGTATTGAAGGTCTAATGTTAATGTATGAAGTTTATGCACTGCTAAATGTAAGTAGTATAATATGATTCACATCTTACATGTTTCTTAAGGATTAAGATTAAGTTGTGATAGAAAAAGAGTGTGAATCTGTTAACATTGATTTGGAGGCCTCCAGGTGGGGAAGACAGACGGGACAGGAGAAAACTCCATGCAATGTGGTCAAATTGGTCGGAGTTTTCTTCGAACCATATGACAATGTTATAATTATAAGTTGTTATTTCTGGTGGAATTCACTTAGCCTACATTTTAGTGTGCCATCAACAAAGAAAAGTATAAAATTTCCAGAAAGGTAAGTGTCAGAATCATTGTTATAATATGTTACTGATGCGTTAAGGTGCAGTAGGCTTTTACAGTTGTACTTGGAAAAAGAGGAGCTGTGTAGCTTCAGCCATAGATATATATGATATCTATGGCTTCAGCTGTCAGATGTCTTGGAGCAGAGAATATAAAGACTCACGTTAAGTACAAGCACATCAAACTGTAACTACATGAGTAGCCTACTGTAGTAAGTAAACATACTGAATGGAGTGCTTTTACTTTGCAGTGTAGGTGCATAAACTAAAACTAAAGTAGGTAAAAGCCCTATAAAAATGTGTTCTAAATGAAGGACTGTGTTTTCTGACATGTACTGTGTATAGTGTACTCAGAGTTGAAGTACGTGTAGTGAACAGACTTTTCGCACGTACAAAGTAGGCTACTTGCTTCACAATCCGCCATCTGCTTCTTCCGCATCTGCGCGATAAATCCGCTGTAACTCTGCGTGCACGCGGTAACACGTGAACCACGTCGCCCAGTGAAACGCGTGCAGGTGCGTGAATGTCGGATGAAATAAAAGAGGAAGATTTACCTGCTGCGTGCTGAAATCAAAGCCCAGATAAAGAGGAGAGTCCTGAGCAGCGGCCATCACGAAGGAAGGAACGAACGAACACACACACACACACACACACACACACACACACACACACACACACACACAGAGGAGGAGCAGCAGGGGTTAAATATTTAAAGAGACAGGAACTCTCTCTCTCTCTTTCTCTCTCTCTCTCTCTCTCTCTCTCTCTCTCTCTCATTAATGCAGTGGTGGAGGAAGTATTAGCCTAACATACTTAACCGCAGTAAAAATACAAAAACCACACTGTCAAAATACTCTGTTAGATGTAAAGGTCCTGCATCAGTGGTTGTTTTGAACCACTGGGGCCAGCTGTTCTTTTTCATTTACATTAAAGTGAGACAATTTAACTTTGACTGGACTGTTGCTACAAGTGAAAACATGCTGGATAATGATGAATGCTAAATATATCATTTAATGCCATTAAAGCAACCCTTACCTTTCTGGAAATTTTACACTTTTCTTTGTTTAGGTTAAAATGCTATTAATACGCTGATGGCACACTAAAATGTAAATGAATTCCACCAGAAATAAAAACTCATCATTATACCATTCTCATATGGTTCTAAGAAAACTCCGACCAATCATTGCATTCGGACCGAATGATTGGTCGGAGTTTTCTCCTGCCCTGTCTGTCTTCCCCACGGGGAGGCCTCCGACAGACGTAACCGCTTGCATAACATCCCCCCCACACCCTCCACCCCTGAGTCTGTGAGACAACAAATACGCTAGAAACAGGGAGGCTTGTGGATATAAACTAGTAACAGGGACGCTTGTGGATATAAACTAGTAACAGGGAGGCTTGTGGATATAAACTAGTAACCTGAGATGACCATGGTATCGCCTGGAGCTGTCCTGAAGGGAAGATGCCGGCCCCAGTGCTGTGACAGGACGCAGGAGCGGGGGAGTGCCGGAGGGGTTAACTCTATGCTAACAGCTAACCCCGTCAAACCAGCTGTTCCCAGCAGCCTTCTGGCGAACGTCCGCTCACTGGACACGAAATGGATTATATCCGACAACGGAGATCCACTAACTGAGGAGTGAGGGACTGTTGCGTCCTTGTGTTCACTGAGACATGGATGAATGGCAACATATAAGACGCCGGTGTTGAGCTAAGGAGGCTAACGCTACACAGAGCAGACAGGGAGGCTGCATCATCTGGTAAGCTCCTGGTGTATACACAAACAATTCATGGTGCTGTGATGTGTCTTTCTTATATGTTGCACAAATTGTTTTTAAAAATGACAAAGAAGTTCAATTCAGTTCATAATGTTATATTACAACACAGCAGAGATATTGGATAAAGCGAGATACCCTACTCAGCTCACTTCCTGATTCAGTGATGTCAGCGCCACGCCCCCGTAGGAGACTCCCAGCAGCTCTGAATGTATTGTCGTCAATGAGGAAAATGAACGTGATCACAATTTATGGTCAATTCTTTCGCCCTGTAGTCACTAAAGTAAATATTGGGTTCATTTTCCACAAGCCACACATCTTACCAACATTCTGACACTAAAGCTGCATTTTTCATCCGCACAGATCAAGAGAAAGTTAACTTTGTTTGAGCCCTGTCCATCTCAGAAAACAAGTTCTCGCGACATCTTGCGTGAGGGCTCTGATTGGAGGGAGCGCTAACCACGCCCACTTAGGAGACAGGAAGAGTAACCGTTTTCTTAACATTGGATAAACCTACGGTGGGGTATCTCCTTTATCCAGTATCTCTGAACACAGCACCCAGTTGCTAATGGCTAACGTTAGCCTACTGTAGCGTAGCCTCTGAAACATTAACGTTATCTTCCCTGTGTGTTTCCACTTACTAGTAACGTTAACGCTACTATCTAACGTTAGCACTGTAACCTTATTCTAAAACCCATCAGTCATCACTGACTCCGGTTGAGTTTTAAAACTCCGGGGTTGCATTTGTAACGTTACACTCGCCCTCCTCTTCCGTGTATCTAACGTTACCATGCCAACGCCTACATCTATCATAGATGTAATGAGGACGTAATGGAGGAGGGGGGAGTAGGCCGTTGGAGGGAGGTGGAGTTGCAGGAGGAGGAGGATGGGACTTTGGAGGGAGGCGGGAGTTGTGGATGTTCAAATTTTTTCTAAGTGCTGTGTGAAATGCAAGAAAGGTAAGGGTTGCTTTAAGGTCAGTATGAAATACATAAATAGCCTATGTCAATAAGATAATTATGTTGATGGAATACATACATGAATGACTTAAGATGTCTATGAAATAAATGAATATGTCTGAAAAAAGTAAATAAAGATTTCTGATAGATAAATAAAGATAACTGAAAAATAAATGTGGCTAGGAAATAGCATGATTATGAAATAAATAAATACAACTAGGAAGTAAATTGGAAAAAAAGGCAGACATACATAAATATGGCTATGAAATTGAAAAAGATGCCTATGGCATAAATACATATTATAAAAATGATTATGTCAATGTAATCATTAAAGGTGGCTATGAAATAAATAAAATACAGATGTCAATGAAATAAATATATATGTCAACTGTATGGAGTAAATAAATAATAAATGATTATATTAATGTAATAATTAAAGATGGCTATGAAATAAACAAATACAGATGTCAATAAAACAAACAAATATGCCTTTGAAGTAAATAAATAGTAGATAAATGATTATGTCAATGTAATAATTAAAGATGCTATGAAATTAATAAATGACTTAATATGTCTATGAAATAAATATGTAAATAAATAAAGATTTCTATGAAATTAATAAAGATAACTTTAAAAGATAAATGTGGCTAGGAAATAAATAAGTAAATATGTCGATTAAATAAACAAAGATGGCTATGAAATAAATAAATACAGATGGCGATAAAATGAATAAATTATATCAATGTTATAATTAAAGATGTAGATGAAATAAATATCTATGAAGTAAATAAAAAATAAATAAATTATTATATTCATGTAATAATTAAAGATGGCTATGAAATAAATAAATACAGATGTCGATAAAATAAATAAATATGCCTATGGAGTAAATAAATAATAAATAAATGATTATGTCAATGTAATAATAAAAGATGCTATGGAATAAGTAGATAAATGACTTAAGATGTCTATGAAATAAATATATAAATAAATAAATAAATAAATAAAGATTTCTGTGAAAATAATAAAGATAACTTAAAATAAATGTGGCTAGGAAATAAATAAATAAATATGGTTATAAAAACAAATAAAGATGCCTATGAAATAAATAAATAAGATTATGAAATAAATAAAAATGATCATCTATTGAGTGGGAAGATGAGCATTTGTGGATGGGATGCCTGATTAGGTATGAATGCAGGTTAAGTTTACTGATTGAAACTTCACAGTGACAAAGTGATAAAGTCTAATTCACTGAGAGTTACCTACTATCCCAAAGTCCTGAGACCTCTGCTGGTAGAGAAACTGCTCCACGGTCTCTAGGTTGTGAGTTCAAACCTTTTCCGCACCTTTTGAAAAAATGAAAAATTTGAATCTCTTTGAGCCTTGGTAAAGCACCTGCCATTAGACTGCAACATCTCTGGTTTGTGTCTGGCTGTACCTCTGTTTCATGTCATACCTGTCCTAAAAAAAAAAAAAAAAAAAAAAAAAGTCCCTTCAAGGGATTGGTCACAGCAGCTCTGCACAGGTCAGGTGTATGCAGGGGTGTTTCTGAGATTTAAAACCATTCAGGCCTTAAGGCCCAGACACACCAAACCCACATCAAAGAACTAGCTGTGACGAAGACTGAGTACTGCATCACCACACGTCGCCTGTGTCTGAACACAACGCAAAGACTACAGCTAACAGCCAACTACCAAGGTCGTTCTGTGCCTGTGTGAGAGGAAATAACTCTTCATACCAGCAGACAATATTCGTCATTCAAAAAGGGAAACAGGAAGACCAAAAGATGCTAGTTAGCCAGTTAACATATTAAGAACACAACCCATTTTTGAAAGAATAGAGCATATGTACCATGCACTGGTGAACATGAGGAGGACATCAGTCAATGCACCTAAAATAACGTGACAGTTAGCCACTGTGTACTTTATGTACTATGGCACCTAATTTATATTAAAGTTACAAAAAAAATCCCAGTGTAAATCAGTTGATCTTCACTGAGAATAGAATAAGATTGGAGGTCCACCTGGCACCCTAACGGGTGCCCGCAGCCTATAAGTTTAGTATCACTGCCTTAAACCATGCATGGAGAGATAGGACAGGCTCCATCAGCAGTTGCTGACAGGTTCAGACTCCTCTGAGACATTTCAGCTGAAATATAAGTCACTTCACATTTTAGAAAAGTAAAAAGCATTGATCTGTTGTCCTGAAGGTCAACCAAACATGTCACTGATATCCCTTTCCCACTAAAATAGCTCTGGTTCTTGAACCAGTTCCGGTCAGGACCCTTGGAACCATAGGGCTTTCTAAAGAACCAGTCCACATTTCCACCAGTTTTGAGCAGGTGGGATACAGGCTTGTACATACACGACCTTGTAGCTCACTTCAACACCCAACTTCTTAATGTGCTTGACACTGCGCCCATAAAGATGAAGAAAAAACCTGTGGTGAGACCCGTGCCCTGGCGTACTACTGCTATTTGCAAATTGAAATGTAAATGTTGCAGAGCGGAACGCAAATGGAGAAAACATAAATTGTCTGTCTGCCACAATATATACAAAGAAATTCTCACTACCTACAATAAAGCAGTGCGGGATGAGAGACGTGCCCATTTCTCTAATATTATAACAGCCAACTCAAACAATCCCAGAATATTATTCTCAACCATAAATAGCATAACCACGTACCCTACGACGTAGCGACGTTGTTGATTTAACGCAGGACCATAAATCAGGCTTAAGACTGCAACTGTTAAACCCTTACTCAAAAAACCTAACCTGGATCCCTCCTCTCTCAATAATTACCGCCCAATTTCTAATCTACCTTTCCTAAGTATGGTTTATGAGAAAGTAGTGTTCAAGCAATTAAACGAACACCTGTCAAAAAACAGTATTTGTGAAAATTTCCAATCAGGCTACAGAGAGAACCACAGCACAGAGACAGCTC